GATTGACTTGAGAACATTTTAAATTTTGGTTCATTTTTAACCTGTTGCAGGATTCCTTACTTGCCATGAATAAGCTTAGGCAAGAGGTGGAATTGGAGAAGAGTAGAGCAAAACTGGATAGCTTAAATTGTGAAAAAGATTTAGAGATGTGCATTAGAGCAAAAAATAATGCATGGGTTATTTCTCGTGTCACAAGGGGGAAGGAGCTTTATATGGTTTTAGAGAAAGCCAATGAAACCCTTCTATATGCCTCAGATGCTGTTGAGAAGTTCAGCGACAGGTATGCTATTGGTTTCCTATCCTAAGTGTGCCTAATAGTGTACTTCCTATGCTCAAATTGTTATCCTTGTTATCATGATAATGATGCAAAGAAAGAAAGAGAAAAAGATCTTTTAAAAGAGCAACTTTTGTTTTAAATGAAAAACAAGCTTTTAAGGAAGATAGTTAGAAGTTTTGGTTTTTACTTCTCCTTTTGCCTTATTTCAAATCCCGAAATCCAAAAATAAAATACGCTACCCAAGAAATTTTTACTTTGAAGTAACTTCTAAGCTTAAAAACATAACACAATTTTCAAACAATAGTTTGAATTAGAGTTTAAGGTTAAGCTCTAATATGCTACCAGAAAATCCTTTAAATTTCAAGCCAAGAACTTTTACTTTGCCTGCGTGAACAATATTCTTCCCTGGTATTATTTTTCATTTTCTGTTGGATTATGAGGATTTTGGCTATAATAACTTAGCAGATTTGAGCATCTCTGAACTAACTGAAAACAAGAATTGTAATTTTCTTTCTTGGTCGAGTATCGCAGGTATTGCGATGGAACATTTTCACTGGACTAAAGAAAACCAAGAATGTGCGACCGAGGAATAGCACGCTAGGTCTCCTAACTTGTTTTCCCCAAATAAGGTTGGGAGAAGTTTTCTGCTGTTGAATTTTCTCACCAGGAAAATCAAGAAGGAAGAAAGAATACTACCGTGTGTATATCTCTGTATATTTAGTGTAATTTGATTAAACTTGTTCAAGGTTGCTACATAAAATATTGTCACGGTTAACTTTTTTTTTTTAATCCGAAATTTGGTCAATTCCCAGGGAAAAGTTTTCCTAAAAAATTTCGTTTATTTCTCATTAGACTTTCAATAATTAAAATTTGATACTACGTTTTTAAAACTTTAATTTTGGAAAATATTTTCTTTAATTTTCATTCTTCTAAAACATAATATTATTTTTTGTTTTTAATGATTATTTTAAGAAAGATAAATATCATTTATTTTAAGAATTTATGAAATATTTTAGAGGTGTTATACATTTCAATTATATCACTAATGGATACCACTTGGATGAGCATTTGACATTTTAATAAATAAATTAGTTTAAAAAATCATATAATTGTAGGAAATAAAATTAGTAATTTTATTTTAGAGGATGAAAAATTAAAGAATTCTTTTATAGAAAATACAATCAAAATTTGATAAAGTTTAAGTATAATTTTTGCTCTTGTAATTTATCATTTTTTCATCTTTAATCCCTATAATTTTGTTATTGTCATTGTTATTTCATTCCTAACATTTTATAATGTTTCATAAATAGTTTCTGCTGTTAACTTCTATTAAAAAAAAATTATATGACAAATATAATACATATTATATTCATTATATTCTTCTTCACCATTGTCACATAGATAAATGGATTTTAAATTTTTTTAGACAAAATTCTAAAACATATTTCATCATGCTCTTCACGTGTACTCTCATAAAATTATGAAATGTTGTGTCCTAGCTATTGCGACGACTACAGTAAGTGGTGATAATCTTAATGATTTTGACAATCTTAAGCTAATCATCACAATTTTTCTTAGTCTTGAATGAGGTGGTGACATTAGTAAAGTTGTGAGCGCTTTTGCGATGCATGAGTTTTTGTACAATGGAAGAGTAGTTAAGCATGAAGTCGAACTCCTCCATGATGAGATGATGACCAATAAAGATCTTGCAAAGGTAGTGATCATTAATGATAAACTCAACCTTGTTGTTGAGATTGTGAATTATGATAAATTGTTCTTTGTCGATTGCAATGTTGGATTTGGATTGAAAAGGGGAAGTGTAATTGCGATGGTTAGGTGTGAGTTTGGCATAATGAAATGCATTTTAAAATTTTGTTTAAAAAACTTTAAAATCAATTTATTTATATGACAACAATGGAGTATAATATATTGAATGTAATATGCATTTTATTTGCCATGTAGATTTTTTTAATAGTAATCAATGGTAAGAATTATTTTTGAAATGTTATAAAATGTTAGAAAAGAAACAATAACAAAAAAAAAAATAGAACCAAAAGTAAAAAACGGTAAATTACATAAATAAAAATTATATTTAAATCATTTACTAATTTTGAGAGATTATAGATAAAATATATTTAAACCATTTACCAATGTTTGAGAGATTATAAATATATTTAAACCACAAATTTTTTATTTGATTGTTCAAATGAACAAAAGGTTAACTTTAAATATACTACAAGTTTATAAGTTTTCTTAAAACTTTGTTAGCTTGCTCAATTTTTTTCCCTTTGCAATAATTCATTTATATGTACTAATATTTTAGTAATAATCCATTTATATGTACTAATATTTTAGTATGTGCATGTGTGAATTATATATGACTAAAGTTTGTGATAAATTATATATGCAAATAAATATTCTATTTTAATATATAACTTATATTTAAAATTTGTATATATAAATATTTTTAAACATATAATTAAATTTTAAATATAAGATAAATAATTTACATTTTATGCAAAATTACCTTCAATTACCGATATTTAATTTAATAAATACTAAAAATTATTTCATAAATAAATATAATAAATTAAGTCATAAATAAATATGAAAAATAAAAAATTAAATTCGATAAAAAGTTAAAAAAATACTTTAAAAATATTTTCATTCAAACTAAAATAGTTAATTTGGTATGGAAGTTTATTTTAGGAGTTTATACCTTATTTCTATAAGCTAACTAAAGTAGTATGTAACTAATAAGTTCTTAGTTTTTTTTTTCTCTTTTATTTGTTATCGTCATTAATTTACTTGAAATGTTTTTTTACCCTTTCTAATCTATGAACTATTTTATCTACATGTTACTCTTTTTATTTTTTAATAAAAAATAAATATGTCATTTTATATTAATTATCTAACTCATCAACTAATTTCATTAGACACTTTCAATTTAATAAATTAGTTTATAAACTTCCTTTTCAACCTCTAATTTATAGTTTATAAGCTTTTGATTAACTTATAAGTTTTAAAACAATTTATAAGTTATTTCTATCAAACACGTCTTTAATATACATGGGTTGATGTTAATTTTTAATTTTTATTTTTTTATATAGAACTTGGCTAGGAAAGTAAGAGAGAATATTGTAATTTAATTTCAATGGGATTGTTTTGTTATCATAGTAGGAAATGAAGTTATCTATATTTTTCACCTTTTTTCTATTCTAAATTATATATCGATTTAAATATATTTTTAGTCATTTAAAATGAAGGTAAAATTATTTTTAATCCTTCAAATTTAAACTTAATTTTTTTTATTTTTTGTAATTTGAAAAAAAAATCTTGTTTCAATTTTTATATTTAAATTTTGTTTGAGAATTTGTCAAGTACTGTCGTGTAAAATCTACACATTGATATCTCATTAGTGAAATATAACATTAAACTCAATAAATATCGCATAAGTGTCTCAATTTATCTCTTTTAGATATGTTATCGGTAATATGAGATTCTAAAACAAGATTTTTTAAAATTTTAAGATTAGAAAATAATTTTAAATTTGAGAGAAAAAATAAATGTACTTTAACCGTAAGGGACTAAAATTATATTTTAACCTTATATTTTTAATAAATTTGAAATGTTTAATAGAATCTTAAAATAGGGGAATTTGAAATTTGATTAATCGAAGAATATAGTGTAAGTTAGTGGTTGATGTCTTTTATAAGTTTTGCTTTATTTTTTATTTTTTAATTTTCTTTTGTCTAAATTGAATGTATCCTTTGTATATAATATGTATGAATATTAAAAAAATATACATATAAATATAACAATATATATGGTCATTAATATTTTAACTTTGATTATTTATTTATTTTTTTATTGTATTACTTTTTTATAGAATTTATTTTATTCTAATTTGTTCATGTAATTTTAAATAGTTGAATTAATTTATAAAAAAATATGGATTAATCTTAATGAGAAATTTTACGCAGTAAAGCCTTCTTGATTTAAATATACATGATTATATTTTATAAGCCAAAAACAAATCATATTTAAATATTTTAATTTGTGACGAAGAAATAAAAGAAATTCGTCTGTTAAAAAATTATATACAAACAAGTGTTTCGAAAGTTATAACTTGATTTAATTTTATATCATTTTTTATATTTAAAATTAAACAAAAATGACGCAGCATTAATCTAATTAATATTAATGTCATGCTTTATATTAATGTTCTTCTAATCGATACTTATGTAAATGTGATATTCATATACATAAAATGCTTGAATCTTGTTAAAGCGTGCAACATATTACAAAAAAATGCATTGGCAGCCTCAAGTGTTATATGAAATTTGATCTTATTACCACAAATTAAACATAACAAGATAATTATGAGGACAAATCCTATAATTATATAGTCTAACTTCAACTTGTAAAAGTATCAACTTTATGATTCAATTCAAATATTCTCATTCGATTTCTTCCAGTTAATTCAACTGTACCTGCTTCATTATCTTCACCAATTCATGAAAAACAAGAAAAATTATCTCCATCAAGTTGTATGAAGAAAATTTACAATGTAATTAGTTATGACGTTTAATCCAAAATATCAAGTCACAAATTATATACGTATATCCATAATGGAACAGTATAAACTTATCCAGGGTAGTGGGCCGAAAGGAAATGGGCCTACCCAACCGTGTTCGCTTTTGAACTGAAACCCCAAAAAATAGAGGAGGCAACAACTTAGGGTTTATCGATTTCACACTATAAAACAAAATGAACTGAGTCTGCTGCTTCACTCTTCTCTTCCACACCTTTCAGATCTTATTCGACCTCTCAACTAAGGTATTCTGCTCTTACTACTCTTCTTAGTTTCTTCTAGATTTACGCTTCTATGCCTCAATTCCTGCTCCTAGCTCTGTATTTGCGTAATTGATTCTGGAAACGCTTCTGTCTCTCATTACGATCCGATTCAGCTATAACTTTTATTTTTTCTAATGCCTCGTGATTCATCATTTCTGATTATGATTTAGGGTTTTCTGCTAAATTTTTAAGCATTTTTTTTATTTTTATTTTTTAATTTCGAAGAGATGTTTTCTTTTCTCTGTTGGTTTAATTCCATGTCGTTAGCGTACATAGCCTGACCTGTCATCACAAAACTAGGTCAAAAAGTCTCTGAGGATGATGAAAAAGTAACTTTCGTTCTTCCGAGTTTTCCATGCGGAAAATATATGGAGACCTGAACTGAGGAGACTGTGTAATGTTTGTTTCCACATTCCGTCTGTCCCTTTGCGGGTGATCCGTCTTTTGTTCACAATGTCAGTAGATTTAATTTTAATTAAACTTTGTAGTAGATGATAGTTTTTCGATTGCTTAATTTCACTTATGGATTTTCCTATTTACTTGTACACGCATTGTATGTACTTTAATTCTGAAGTCTGTACCTGCCTTGAAAGCCTCTGAGGATGATCAAAAATATAACTTTCGTTCTTCCGATTGTTCCCATGCGGAAAATAAATGGAGACCTGAACTGAAGAGGCTTTCTTATGTTTGTCTTCTTATTCCCTATTTCCCGTTGAGGCTAATGTCACTCTTGTTCACAATATTTAGTCGTTTTGTTTTAGAGGATAGGTTTATGTTCGCTCACAGATTCATGCGCAGATTTCCTTTTTTTTTTTTTTTTTTTTTTACTTTTATACACATTTCAAGTCCTATTACTCCGATGTCTTTCCCTGTCTTGAAAATCGAAATTAATCTAATTAGCCTCTGAGGATGATCTGAAATTTAACTTGTTTTTCCGAGCCATTCATGAGGAAAATACATGGAGACCTGAACTGAAGAGGCTTGCCAATTTTTTTTTCTTTATTGTTTGTCCCTTTTCACCCCTCTTCCTTTTTTTTCATTATTTATTATGTAATTAATTTTTCTTTGCAACTTATTTGATGCTTTTCTTTCATGTTTCAATTCAATATTTGATTGTTATGTTTTCTCTTATTTCAGGTTTAACTGTATTTGAAGAGTTTCTCAACTGCACTCTCCTTTGAAAATGAGGTATCAGTTCTTACTCCTAACCTGCTGAATTCTTTTGGTACTATTATAAATTTTTTGATCTTTTTTGTTATCAAGTACTAATACTCTTTTGCTTTTCTCTTGACCTTCGCTTCACTAGCCGCCCAATGGAGGAAGATGTAAGTTCTTTTAAGCTTATTTATTAAATGTTTGTCCATGTCTATATGATCTTTGCACTGTATATTGTTTTGCTTGTTTGTTCCCTATCTATCTGCAAATCCAGGCTTCTAAATGTCTGTATTTGACTATTCATGCCAATTCAATCTGTTTTGTATAATTTAACTTGATTTTCAATAGTGTAATCTATTTTTTTTTCTTTTCCTATTTTTTAATTGCTCATATGTAACAACCAACCATCCTAGCTTCGGAAAGGAATTTTAGCTTTTGATATGGTGTCATTTTGCCCCCTTAATTGTGTGAAAAAATGTAAAGTTATATTTTCAGCCTTGAAATTTAGTGGCTACATTCGAAATATATGATTTTATGACGTGATTGTAATATGGATCAAACATTGTCTTTCTTGGTGGAATTAATCGCCTTTGTATGAAAATGGTTTATCTGTTGTAGTTTCTTTATTTTTTAGTTTGAGTTGCTTTAAACTGGATTACTATGCTTTAATATATTTGACAATTTAATATACTTCATTTCACAGACTGTGGGTAAGAACGAGGAAGAAGAATTTAACACCGGACCACTATCAGTTCTAATGATGAGTGTTAAAAATAACACTCAGGTATGTTCGTTTTTATATGATACGCTATGTGATGGATTTTGAGGCAGGCCCAGGGGTATGCAATGCTTTGTTGTGCTAAACATTTTCTTTTTTCAGGTACTGATAAATTGTAGAAATAACAAAAAGCTTCTGGGTCGTGTTAGGGCATTTGATAGGCACTGCAATATGGTGCTTGAAAATGTTCGGGAGATGTGGACTGAGGTATGGTTTTTGGCATTTAGATTTATTTGTCTTGCACTTGTTACCTCAGCCTAATCGATTTGTGTTCTCCATTAGGTCCCGAAGACCGGTAAAGGGAAGAAAAAGGCCCAGCCTGTTAACAAAGATAGATTTATTAGCAAAATGTTCTTACGCGGAGATTCTGTCATCATTGTTCTTAGAAATCCAAAATAATTGTATTAACTCGTAGTTGGTATTTTGATGACCGCCCGGGAACTGTTAAACTAATTTCCGCATCTTTCATGTACTTATTAACGTGTACATCTATTGATTGTATGGAGTAGTTTTAATATGTTATGTTCTTTCTGGTTTCCCTTGTTAATTTTTCAATTTCACACCTTGCTCGATTATTGATTATTGGATTGTGTTATTCTGAAATGTTTAATTCACTCTATTGGATTGAATAAGTAATTTTAAGAAAATTAAACGGTGGAAATTATTTTGTTTCATTTTTGTCCGTTTTTACCTTTAGTTTTTAGAATTAAAAATAATTTATTATAGATTTTATGTATACTATTTTTGTTATTTTTTATTTTTTACAGTTTAACATTTTTATTTTTTTTAAAAAGTTTTTACATTGATAGATAATAGAAACTAAAAAGGAAGAAAAATTATATGTAAATAGAGATTAAAATAGACTTTTTAACTACAAAAATTAAATTACATCGAAACATTTTAAATTATGGTTGTATACACAATGTGGGAATGGTATATATTAGACATTTTAAATTCATGAAACTAGAGATTTTAAAAGTAATTAAATTAAATTATTGTTTCACACAATGTGTATTAGAATATAAAATTATTTCTTTGCATCTGTGCTAAATAGAAAGAAAATATTATTTCTTCACGTAATCTATGTATATTAGAATGTAAAATCTTTATTTTTTTATAGCCGTCAAATATTTAGTTAAGATTATTTATGTCTGTACATCGATGTAATAAAGGTTATTTTTTAATACTTTATTCTTATGAATACTTCTAAATTAATTTTTTTTGTTGTTTTTGTTCTCTATATTACACAAACTTGACTATTAACCATACAGCTTTGCAGTCATTGATTTGCGATGCCTTGACCAATAATACCACATGCAAATCTGGGTTGTACAAAAAAGCCTACATCTTGGCCATTTTGCTTCAAATACACTGCATCAAGCGAGTAAAGCAGAGACCTAAATTAAAGATACACGAACTTCCTTCCAGCTTGACCATGCTGCAAGGGTGTTTAATCCAGGACCTATAACTATTAGAATTTAAAGATCTGCATTTCAACTCATCTTTGTTATCTTAGAATATATCAAGAGCATTAAGGAATATATGGATTAAAGAAACAAATATAGATATATGAAACTCATTATAACGCTTCAAAGGACTTCGAATGCGATCCTAATTTAAAGGATTATTAGTAATACCTTTACAGGAAGATAAGTCGTTGTAGATTTCCAATTGTATGTGGGACAACACCAGATAAAGACAACTAATAAATCTGAAGAATAAAATAATTTCCAATTGCATTGTTAGAGTCGTGATAAAATTTAATCACATTTGGTTCACAATGAATAAAGTTTTTAAGAACCTTCAAAATTATCTTACAGATAACTACAATTCAGATAACCTCTCTTATCCTTTGTTTAACCAATTAATTTGGATTGACCATTCTCACGATTTGTTTTGGTGCTAGAAAATAGCCTTCCACATTAAAAATAAATAACTTATTTTTTCACGGAAAGTAATGGAGGCCTTCTTGAAATTTCCGGATCAAATATGCTTACTGTGAGTGTGAGGGAATTAGTGAGGGGAATTGGTAGATTAAAATGAAAAAGGAAATGGCATGATTTGGTTTTCATCTTACTAATGTTTAAAGACTTATTATAGGGCATGTTTTATGTCAAATAGAATATTCTATACTCTATCTTTTCATTTTCTTAAAGGATTTTTTTTCATAGTTATCTGATTTTATTTTAAATTTCTTAAATTTCTTAAATTTTTATATTTATTAATCCTTTCTCTTAAAAACATTAATAAGTTGTGATAAACAAGATTTTCTTTGAAGTGAGTGTCAGAAAGTGAGTGTCAGAATTAGACAAAGAAGGTTCGAAGTCATTGCGTATTAAATTGTGGGTAAATTGTAAATTATCTTTTATGATGAATTCACTAATGCGAAAAATCTTAAATTTTGGCATTTTATTGTACTGGCGATTACAGTTGCTGGGGGACTAAGTCAAATTTTATTATCTTCGCAGCCTGTTTATGTAACAGTAATGACCAAAGCAAAGATGTAGCACTGTCCCTTTCAGCTTCTTAAAAATCAAATCTAAGATGCTTAAACGAGCATCTAAATTACCTAACTAAATAAATTAGATGACAGGAATTGCAAGTTTTGATTAGGTGGCAGGCGGTATCTTTCTAAGTCAGAAATAGAGTATCATTAAATAAAAATAGTTAACAATTTCTTCATTCAAAAGATCAAATAGGTGATTCTCCTTTGCCATAACCAATGCTTATTATTCCCAAGGAAAAGGATTACATTACGGAAGACCCAAAAAAATTGTTTCCACCTAGTGTACTACCACAACGTTGAAAAGATCCTTGGACTAGTTAAATCTCACAAAAGAAATGAATAACCTCATACAACTAACAGATACAAAACTGATTCAAAAGAAGCATAATCTTTTAAGTACTACATCATTGAAAGATCAGAACTCATAGCAACATCTCAGCAATCTGGATTGCGTTAAGTGCAGCACCCTTACGAATTTGATCCCCGCATACAAAGATGTCCAACCTGTGTGCATACCCACCATTTTCATGAGAAAGAGCAACACTAATTGAGAAATGATCATATATTACCATGAAAAAGGTTTACCCTTTATTCCCATCCTGAGACAGGTCACGGCGAATCCTACCAACAGCAACATCATCTTTGTTTGACACTTCCAATGGAGTAGGAAAATGATTGGATTGACGATCATCAATAACCACTACACCTGGAGCATTCTTCAAAATATCTCTTGCAGTATCCTGAAGAAATTAAAAAACAAATGAACTCACAAATGAGATAAACTTCTTTCTTTGGAGAAGTCTTCTCACCCAAAGTCATTTCATATTTTTTCCTCGTACAACTATGATTTTGGGCATGCAAAGAATAACAAGACCCGTTCCAACAGACTGAATACATCATGAGCCATAAGGATTGCTATCTAATACCATTGAAAAAAATATAGTAACAAAGACCCTCAAGATATGAAAATAAAAAAATGTAAAAGCGAACACATTGAAGTCAAGTTTTATCACTACAATAGGAACGATCATGTCCAATAAATGCCTTTTTCTTTGTGAGCCCACAATAATGCTTAGCTCAATATATTTATCCATCACCATAAAGTTCACATGCAGCGTGTCACTAACAACAGGACTTTATCTATCAATTGTAAACCCAAAGAGGCAAATACATAAACAAAGGTAGATGCTTCAACAAGGCAAAAAACATGTGAGCTTTATAGGAAGTTTATCAGTTGCCCATATATGCCAATATTTTTTTATTTCATCCAGACTTTGCATATCTGTCCTATATACACATTTGATATTTAAAAAGATTAGCTTTCATTTCATACAGTTAAAGTCTTATCCATCCTGCATCAATTTTTATACAAGTGAAAGTTATAATCCTAAAATTAATTCTAGCAACTCCAGGTATGTCACATACTTCAGTCATCAAAAGCCCTAGAGCTGTTGAGTAACTGCTATAATCACTACATCAAATGCCAGTTATCCTTGACATTCTGAAAAATTAGCACAATGCTGCCTTACAAGTCAGCTGTGGGCTAGTTCTCAAGTCTGATCTTAGCCACACATAGCAGAGGACAATATGAAGTACCTCATCAAGGGGTCTTTCAAATTGAAGATTGACACTTTCAGCATGAGCCCGCATGACAGGAACTCGTATGCATGTGGCGGTTACTTTAACGTCATTGTCATTCTGCAAAAGTGTAAAGTTAAACACGCAAGGTATAAGTATTCCACAATGTGACACACACAAGCTAGTAAACAAGACAATAACATTCAATTTCAACTTACCCAGATTTTCCTTGTCTCCTTGACCATTTTCATTTCTTCTTCATTATACCCATTCGAAAGAACAGATGCATTATGCGAGAACAGATTAAAAGCATACTGCAAAACAACAACACCATCAAGAAATAGTCCTCGAATCATCAATCACGAAGTCAAGAGGCATATGCAGAACTATGCAAACCTGTTGATTAAATATTTTACAAGTCGGCTGTTTCCCTTCCAACACCTTCAATTCAAAAGGGGAAAGAAAAGGAAAATCACAATCTCATACTAAAAATAAAAACAATTTCTCCATTTCACACAATCCCAATAGTAGAGCTCAAACCAAGATAACAAGCTATAAAGGTAAACTTTGACCTGATTGGATAAATTTCTCCATAAACACTTCTATGAGAAGAAAGCATAAAATTTAGTTCATACTTGCGCTAAAAGGTATCTTAGAAAAGCTAATACAAAAAAACTCGTACAAATTAACTTATGCATAAATTAATTTCATTTTTTTTTTCATAATTGTTTTTGGAAAAACTTATCCAAAAAGACCCTTCAATGCAAACCTCACGAGTTTGCAGCTCAAGCTCCTCCATTGCAGCAGCACCAGCACCACTGGCAGCTTGATAGGTGCTAACAACCATACGTAACACCTGCAACATTCATCACTTAATATATAAAATTGCATTAAAGAAATAATTTTAGAAATTAAATAAAACTGCGAAATGGGACCTTAGCTCGTCGATGAAGAGGGGTAGCAGCCATCAAGCAAATAATGGTGGAGCAATTAGGGTTAGCAATGAGTGCGCCCTTTCCCATTCCAGCTTTGATATTGTGCATGGCTTCAGGATTCACCTCGGGAATCACCAATGGCACCTTCTCGTCCATCCGAAACGCCGAGCTGTTGTCCACCACCACCGTCCCCCGATCCACCGCGACGGGGCCGAACTCCCTGCTGATGGAGCCGCCGGCGCTGAAGAGCGCGATGTCGACGCCGTCGAAGCTCTCCGCCGTGAGCTCCTCCACGACGTGGTTCCTGCCCTCGAAGGTGATGCGGCGGCCGGCGGAACGCTTCGACGCCAGCATTTTGATGGAGCGGTAGGGGAAGTCGCGGTCGGAGAGCACCGAGAGGAACTCCTGGCCGACAGCGCCGGTGACACCGACCACCGCGATGGAGGGGCCGTTCTCCCGTAGGGACATTCGGATCCTGGTGGGCCCAGAGAGGGTGGGCCTGAAGCGGGCCGGGAGAGGGCCCGAGAATAGATGGTTGTGGCGCGAAACAGAGAGTGAAGCCATGGACTTACTTGGGTGAGGGTGGGTTTAGGGTGAGGACTGAGGAATGGAAACAACCACAGACAGAAAGAAAGGGTTTTAACTTTTCATGATGTTTTGTTTTATATACTCAGACCAAGCTTCTATTTGGCGGCTCGTGCATCTCGCTAAGTAACTTTATTTATTGGATTTTTATATGCAACAATTTCTTTTCTATTTAAGTTTTTCTGTTCAAGGTCAATAACACCAAGTAAAAATATTTTAATAAAAATATAAATAACCAAATTATTATAAAATATATATAAAGTAATTTAAGAATTTATATTATTTTTTTAATCAAATACAAAATAAAAAATTATTAAACTTTATGTGATAAAAAAGTATATTAACAACTCAAACTCAAAATGAGTTATGTCTTCGAAAAGATCCTCTTTTACTGAATTTAAAATAGAAAGAAGAGGGCGGAGCACAATTTTAGTTTGATGTCCTCACCAGTCACCAGTCAGTATTTACGTTGAAGGGTTATTTTTTCTTAATTATGTTATTAATATGATCAATGTTCTTCAATGAAATTCTTGTTTTTTTTAATTACATTATATATATATATATTTAAATTCAAGACTTTATTTTAAAAATTTGAATTTGATAATAATATTATTCAGATCGATGACTTACTGATTTGATATAATACGTTTAATTGATAATAGAAAAAGAAAAGGGGTGAGCAAGTTTAAATTTTAAAATAGAATTTAAAATTTCATATTTTAAAAATATTAGTAAATATTTTAGCATGTATAATATACATAATAAATATTTATTATATATGACTAAATTTATAATAATTATATATAAATAAATATTATGTATATATATATATATATATATTATATTTAAATATTTTTAATCATATAAATGATATTTTAAATTTATGATACATAACTTACATTATATATTTTTGTTTATTTTATTTTAAAAATATTAAATTTTAATTTATAAATAAGTTTTAAATATTTTTTTAGTTTTTAAAATTTAAGATATATTTATTTTTGGTTCCTCAAATTTAAAATTGTTGTTTTTTATCTTGTAATTTTTAAAAAATTTGTTTTAATCTCTTATGTTATCAATAACATATTTAATAGTGACATATTAAGACAGTTATACAATATTAATCGAGTTTAATTTAATATTTTTACTAATAGAGAGATTAGTAAGTAAATTTTATATGATAATATTTGATAAATTATCTAACAAAATTTGGGTATATAGACTAAAATAGGATTTTTGAAATTACAAAAATTAAAAAAATTATTTTTAAATTTGAAAAGCTAATAATAAATTTATTTTAAATTTAAGATACTAAAAATATATTTAATCCTATAAATAATCATGAAAAATAAAAATCGAGTTATCAAATTTGAAAAGTAGCGATTTATCTAAGCAGATTTAGGTTTTTTTTATTAAATGAGTTTATTAAAATTTTTACATTGATTTTATCTTATTAATTTTAATTTATTTTCTGCAAAAAATATGCCATCTTTTTAAAAAATTACGTATTTTTTATATAAAAATTGTGTATACTTTGAATCTTTATGTTAAATATTATTTTCTTACACTAAGTGCAGCTCGATTTTCAAAGTTTTTTGCATTGGTTTTTATTTGTTATTTTTATAATTTTATATATTTTTATAAAATTAACTATTTTAAAAACAACCGTTACGATCAAAATTCCTCCGCTTTATAAGCAATCCTTTTGTTCTTTTATATTGTGCGCTCTCAATTTCGCAACCCAAATTTTTGACTTATGAAAGAGAAAGAAAAGAAAAACTAAGGGAGGGTGTACTGGTTTAAGATTTCGTAGGATTTTAAAAAACTTTTTTTGAGTAAAAAAATTCATTAGTATTCAATCGGGATTTTATGTCACTTAAAAACAATCCAGTGGTATTCAATCTGAATTTTCAAGATTTTTTAAAGAATCCATTAAAATTCATTGGTATTCATTTGAGATTTTTTACAACTTAAAAATAATTCATTGGTATTCAAAAATATAAGGATTTTAAAGGATTGTTATGTGAGAGGGATTTTGAAGGATTTTCTAGTGTTATCTATAAATATCAAATTCATAAAACAATCTCATCCAAACCCATCGGATTTTGAAAGATTGTTTGAAGTGACTTTTCAATAATTTTTAAGTGAGTTTTTCATCTTTTTTTTTATGCTTTTATCTTCTCCATTTTTTCTCTGCTAATAATATTGCACTATTATTCATTGCTCATATATAATATTGTAATACTGTTTTCATCCCATTTCTCTATTTTGTGAAACTCCGGTATGTAAATGATAGTGTCATTGACTTGCTCTATTTTTCTGTTCGTTTTCTTTAATTGACTTGCTTTATTTTATTCTATGTAGTTGAATTTGTTCCTTTATATAACAAAAAAAAATGCTTGAAATTTCAACTTTTAAGTGGTAATTTTTTTTATAACACACGTCAAAAAAAGAAAAAGGTGAAAGATGAAATTGATATCATAATCTCTACAATATATATATATATGATGAATTTGTTAGGGATTCTGTGAGTAGAATGAGATGAAAATGGATCTTAGTTGGGGGAAGAACCCTCTCAGCATAAA